ACCAAATGTATACACTGATAAAAACAAGCATTTTTATGGTCAACGGGTTTCTGGGTTGTGAAATTCCACAAGATATCTGTCAGGTTGAAGTAAACAATAAATAGTTGTTTTTCTGGGTTAATTAGTCCAAGGTTTAGAAATGTGTTGAACAGGATTAAACTTGATTTAACGTTAACTTTTAATAAACAGTAGAAGTATCTACGATTAGGAAGAGGCCATTTTTTTACATAAGGCAGTAGTGTTTAGAGTGATGTATGTGTACAGTGACAAATATTTACATTAGACATGTAAATGTCAGGATATGGTTTGGTGATTAATTTCTATTTATTTAGAAGAGTAGCGTGACAGATTTGTGTGTTTACAGTGCAGGGCTGGGAGGGTGTTATTATTTCTACCATGGCTGGTAATGCGCCCCCCCGCCCCGCCAGTGGGGTGTGTGGCGTGTGGTGTGGTGTGTGTGTGTGTGTGTGGTGCGTGTGTGGTGTGCGTGCGTTGTTAATATCCTCTGGGGGGGGTAGGCTGCTGTGAAGCAAGCAGAGAAGTTCGTTTTTGGTATTGGTGATCTGGGTGTCCTGAGGGCTTTTGAAGCACACAGAGGTTGGGTAGGGCTTGCCCCTCCGTCCCTCTATGCCTACCCACCTCAGAGGAGTGGTGTGTGTGGGTGTGTGTGTGTGGTGTGTGGGTGGTTGTGTGTGGTATGTGTGTGATGGGGGGGGGGGTACCCAGGCTGCATGTTAAAGCTGGAGGTGTGATTCGTGACCAGTGGAGGCTGATGATTGGCCCACGGTTCCTCCAGTCACAGTTATTTTCCAGTTCAGCGCTCATTCAGTGCACACACACACACACACACACACACAACACACACACACACCACACACACAACACACACACGCATATTCTTCCACACTTGTGAGGACCCTCATTGGGCATAAAATGTTCCCTTTCTTCTCACCTCAAACATTAATATATAACCTTAAAGGGTTGATTCACCCAAACTACTTATTTTTATACCATTTCCTGGGTGAATGCTCGGTTCTGATTGGCTGCTGGGTGTATGGCACTAATTAACTGTTAAAAACTGCATTCAGTAATCTATCCGAGCTAACTTAATTACTTTCTGTTACTTTTGGATCCCTCAATATACAAATAAAAACAAGAGACAATAAATATCAATAAGAAGTATTGAAAAGAAAATGGAAGATTTTTTTAGCATCAAAATCCTGATTTTGTCTTTTTTCTGTAACTTTAATAGATTCTAGTTACCTTGTGTTTTGTATCCTGATTACGTAACTCACTTACATGTAATCCATTACTCCCAAAGCCTGGTTGTGATGTTATAATCACAAAATAATGAACACAAATTCAATGAATCGCTGTGAATTTCACTGCAACTTTACTGCAAATCTGACCAAAATCACTTCCTTGTTTCTAGTCTCATATTTACTTTGTCCAAACTGTGCTGGAACAAATTGCCTTAATTATATAATTTAATTGAAAATTGTCACTTTCTCCTGCAATTTAATTGTACAAACATCACAAAATGCATCACAACTTTCTAGAAAACAGTAAAATGAAGTATTTTAGGCTGCAACGATCCTCGAGGGACTGAGGTACGACGAGAGGAAGACGTGGTGCTTCTTAACGAAATGTAAGGTGTGTTTAAGAGTCATATTAAAGCACCAGTGTGTGGGATTTAGTGGCATATAGAGGTGAAGTTGCATATTGCGACCAACTGAATACTGCTCGGCTTGTGTGTAGGAGGAACTAGAAGAGGACCTCTGTAGATAAAAACATCTCATTGTAAGGTAACAAAAACACAAAGATTCTTATTTTCAGGTGATGAAACACTAATGAAAACATACCTATTAATATTATATTACACTTCTGATAATTTATCCTCCTCAGTGTTACACTCTGGACCATTAACTAACAATTTGCATCCTACAACAATACCTCGATTGATGAACTGGCCCTTTAACCCTCCCTGTTGAAAACATAATATAATCTAATTGGTCTAACAAATCCTTCAAGATTATTATTATGTTAAATGATTTTTGTTCTAGTTGTTTCATTCATAAAATATGTATATATGTATATGTGCAATATATGTGTGTCGGATTTTGGCCCTTTTGTTTTTTGACAACAAAGATGATATAAAATGATAATGAAATAATAAATTACTTTGTTAATTATATTGTTAGTAATAGAAACCTGTAGTACTTAAAGTGGCCCTCCTGTGAGATGATAATACCATCAGTGGCCCCTGAGACAGTTTGAGTTGAGACCGCTGATTTAACCCTTTAAATCAAAGTTAAAGAAATGTCCTCACAAGTGCACACAGACAGCCGCTGTGTGAAGGAGGAGCCCATTTTTAAACCGCTGCCATCTTGACACTGACGGCCAATTCTCCAAAGCACAATGTGAGCACGCTCAGATTGTCTGACGGCGGCCGGAGGACGAGCGCAATCATCTGCGAATGCGTTCTGCACAATCAGGACTGGAGTGCGTAAACGAACGCCAACATCAGATTGTGTAAATGTTTTTGGTGTTGAAGCTGAACTCGGCCTCCTCTTCCTCCTCCTCCTACACATCAGCATCTGCTCAAACGCTCGCTGACAAATCTCACTGCAGCCACCAATCACCAATCATACTTTAAAAACAAGGTCCTCTCCCTACCAACGCTGCCTCGACCTCCTCAAAATACATAGATGGTGTTTTAAATCGGCTATATTTCACAGCGGCGAGTTACAAATCCATTTAACAGCATCTGCAGCCGTTTCTGCTCGTAATCTGTGAGCATGCTTTAAGCTGCGAGAGGAAACTGTTACTTTAAATGACTGGCACGCATGACGTGGTGTCCTTGATTTTCCTGCTTGCACATGTCCTCTCTGTGTGTTATTATGCAGGCATCTGCTGTCAAGACTTCTTAAACTCATCGCAGCGTTCCTCCCGCTCTCCCCTCCACGCCACTCTCTCCATGCAGCCGCCCTGAGCCCATAAACACACACACACACACATATTTAACACAATCCTATTTGTGTAACTGTAAAATTTACACCAAGCCACAGGCGTGATGAGGTTCAGTCTCTGAAACACTGCATCTTTTGAATAAATGGGCGTACTCTTAATTAATTGAGTTTATCTGAAGCCTGTGGTTGCTGATCTGCAAAAAACATTTTAATTTACATATTCTTAAAGTGGATTCTGCTGGTTTCAATCCCGGACTGGTTGTTATGTTAAATTCCAGATGAGAAAACTGAATGAAGACAGAAATCTTACATTTTGGTGAAAACTTTCTTGTGAAATCAAAATTGCAGATAATGCTGTTCCATAATCATGTCTGCTCACGTTATGTTGACGTATAATCTATACAGTGCAGCATCTACACATATTATTTGTTTGCTGCCGTCTGTGCCTGCTGCTGAAGGTATTAAAACAATGCATTGTGGGTTAAAAGTGATCCTTGTTCATTCTCTCCTCCAGGGAAGTCCCACCTCGCCATCGTGCAGCGAGTGAACAACGAGGGCGAGGGCGACCCTTTCTATGAGGTGATGGGCATCGTCACCCTGGAGGACGTCATCGAGGAGATCATCAAATCAGAGATCCTGGACGAGACAGACCTCTACAGTATGCATGCACACACACACACACACACACACGTAATAGGACAAAATGAAGTGTGATCTGAACATCCTTGTTTTGTGTGTGATGGTGTGTCCTGTCAGCTGATAATCGCTCAAAGCGCCGCGTCTCTCACCACGAGCAGAAGCAGCAGGACTTCTCCATCTTCAAACTGTCAGAGAACGAGATGAAAGTGAAGATTTCTCCTCAGCTCCTCCTGGCAACCCACCGCTTCCTGTCCACAGGTAACGGTCAATCAGCTCGCCGATGTGTGTCTGCGTTCATGTACCTCTACACTTTGTAGAAAAGCTTGGGTCATCAAGTCCAGGTTCAAGAAATCTTAAGGTGGTTCAGTTTACATCCTACTAGAACTGTTGTTAGTTTGTAAGGTTTCTTAGTTTTTGACCTCAAGGCTTTAAAGGGGAAGGAAATCAACATATGGTGAACGTCCACACATGAGAGAGAATGAAGTAACCTTAATGCTCAGTAACAGTGATACTCTCCTCCCTCCATCAGAGGTGGAGCCCTTCAAACCAGCTCACATCTCAGAGAAGATCTTGTTGAGGCTGATCAAACACCCCAGTGTGGTTCAGGACCTCAAGTTTGATGAGAAGAACAAGCGAGCACAGCAGCACTTCCTCTTCCAGCGCAACAAACCGGTGGACTACTTCATCCTGGTGCTGCAGGTAAGTGCCTATATATTTTAGATGATTGGTGCTTTTATGCAGCAGTTAGTGGTTCAGTCCCTCCACAGCGTTGTGAGAGGATCAGCTGATACACAGTGGCTGCTGTGGGTATACAACCTGAGTGCTGCGAAAGATATATTAAATATGTCCTGATAAAGAGCCCTGGCCGTTATGTCAGCGTGTTGTTTCTGTGTTTCTCTGGTGTGTTTATTCAGGGTCGAGTTGAGGTGGAGTTTGGTAAAGAGGCGCTGAAGTTTGAGAATAGCGCCTTTTCTTACTTTGGGGTACCTGCCATCATGCCAACAGGTACAAATACACACACACACACCTTGTACTTGTATCCCTACGAAAAAAAACCTCTCCCTAACCCCCAAACCAAACCCCCTGTCTTTCCTTTGACATAGCTAATATCCTGCCTTAACCTGAACACCTGAATCTAATCCAGATTTTAATCTAAACCCTAAAGCAAAGACCTAATCCTAATTTAACCCACTGTAGGACTTTCCACATCTTCACTCCAAAGGTTTTTACTCACAAGTGGCTCTCACAATTACAGAGAAGCAGAGACAACCCCGACATAGAAAAGTTTACAAAATCATGGAAACACAACCCAAATTAAACCAATTACACAATTCATGGAGTGCATTTTAAATGAATTACACACAAATACACAAAGGAAGAGATATACTGTTTATTGTAGGGAAATCAAAGCAGTTCAATCACAAAAAAATGAAAAAATCTGTAAGTATCTACAGTATGTCCAGATAAAGTACTGCTTGTGTGTGAACACAGTGTGTGTTTGTTTGTGAATGTGGAAACCTGCTTGGGAGAAATCAAACTGTCCAGAAGTCTTCACTTGTGGCATTCAAATTGCCCTGAACAGCTTGAAATATGCAAACACTTCCAAGTCATTGAATGCAGCATTCATCGAGTTCAGTGACTGACATGAATGAACATTTTCAGCTGCAGCAGCCAGGCCCTTCGCATATTAAGCAGTGTGAAACGAGGTAGCGTCCCTGATCTCATGATCGATGATTTGATGCTGATTGATTGACAGGGCCAGTTCTTGTCTGACTGCGTGAATGTGTGTCCGCTGCAGTCCACAGATCCCCCTCCCGCAGCAGTGGTTTGGACCGCTCTGAGTCCATGCTGTACGGAGGAAGCATGAGCCAGCTGAACGGAGGGGGGAACGTCTACCTGCCGGACTACTCTGTCAGACAGCTCACACACCTTCAGATCATCAAGGTAACACCTGAATGTTACACAGAAGTCTGGATTGCTTCCACTCTGTTTTCATTTATTACTCAACTATCTCTATAAACAGATGCAGTAGTGGGCAAGGGACAAGACGTTGGTATTGGTTTCTATTTCTAGTATTATCTAACCAATCCTGTTTGGTTGCATGGAGGGGAAACAGTCCATGTGGAGAGAAGAAGAGGCAGAACAGCATTGCCCAAAATGTAATCTTGGAGCCCATCTGACATTAGACAATAACCGATGCCAAGATTGTTCACTGCTGTTGTGGTTAACCTTTTATATTCAAAATGTGAAAAAACTGTTAAACTTTGTTTTCCTATCCTCAAGAGAAAGAAGTGATTCTTCAGAGATTAAAACATAAAACTGATCTGTTCTGTCCGTTTAATACTTTAATCACATTTACTCCAACTAGACTTCATATAAATATATTCAAACAGCCGTACATTTTCTTTTATTGGAGCAAAATCTTAGCAAAATAACATTTTGTGAAGGATGATTTAATAATACCCATAATCTTCCTCTGTGTCAGATCACCCGGAGCCACTACCAGAACGCTGTAACAGCCACCCGGATGGACAGCTCTCCTCAGACGCCTGACGCCGACGCCCGTCTGACAGAAAGCAACACTGTGACCCCAGAGCCTCCGGCGACGGAGCATGGGGCCACCCTAATGCCCCCGCAGCACACCACCGGGGCCACCCTCATGCCCCCACCCAGAGAGCCCACCCGGCCCGGCTCAGCCCGAACACGAGGACAGCAGTCCAGCGTCCCACATAGCACCTCCCTGCTGAACGAGATGAACCGCATCGTCCGTAAGTACCCCAGACCCCCGAGACACGGGGTGGTGATGAGTCCACACAAAGAAAGAGTGGAAGAGGAAATGATAATCCTGCTGCAGGTTTTCACTTCAGACAGATGTCAGTCGAAGAGGATTTGAGCCACCGGAGGCAGACAAACAAAGGCTGCTCCTTCAAATGAGTTTCTCAGAATCCATTAGAGTATTATATTCCGGATGAATAGAGTTCAATAACTGGAGCCAACTCTAACTGCAAAGAGATGTGTTTAAAAGAGTCTGAGGAGAGATAAACAGACAGAGAAATGACAGCTTGAATATGAATGAGATAAGAAAGCATAAAGAAAAGATGACTACAGCATCTCAGCACAGTGTTTTTGTTTGTTTTTGTTTACTATGTTTAACTGGGAAGTAACTTATAGAACCAGTGTGACTTTCGGCCTTTTTGGACATGTTGGTTGGAGAGTTATTTTGTGATTAGGTTTAGGTTTCAGTGTTAAATTTAAGTTAAATGTAATAGTAAGTCATTTATTCAAAAGGAGTTCGGTCTAGACCTGCTCTATTTGAAAAGTATCCTGAGATAACTTCTGTT